CTCAGATTTAGACGTGGTTGGAAAAAGAAAAGTACTTACGATCAAAGAAAGAATAGACACACAAAAAAAAACAGGAAAGGAAATTTTCAGGGAGGTAGTGTTAGGCAACACTGTCAAACTACTACAGAGTAGTATTGGTGAAAAATAAATTTAAAAAACAACCTTAAAAATTTTAAACTTTAATTCTAAGAAAAAAATTTACACCTGTTCAGTATGGAAATTATGGACGATTTTGACAGTTCAGGAGAGAAAAGGAAGTACAACACAGAGTATGTGACAGAACTAATGTAGATTATGCTTTCAAATTTTTTCCAGTTAGAAGATTGACAAACAATACAGTTGGCCCTCTGTATCTGCGGGTTCCATATCCACAGATTCATCCGACCACCAATAGAAAATATTCTAAGAAAAAAAACCAATAAAAATAACAATACAACAATGAAAAATAATACAAATTAAAGACAATACAGTATAACAACTATTTGCATAAAATTTACATTGTATTAAGTACCAGTAATCTAGAGATGATTTAAGTTATATAGGAGAATGTGCATAGGTTATATGCAAATATTCTGTCATTAAAGAGTTTTGAGCATCCACAGATTTTGATATCTGCGATGGGGGGTGGGTGTCCTGGAACCAATCCCCCACAGATAATGAAGGACAATGATAGCTTGGAAGGACAATGTGTTAAGTAAAGGTTTTTATTTTTTTAAGATGTTAGAGACCTACACACATTTGTAGTCAGAAAAGAGTAATGCTGCTGAGCAGAATGAAGGAGATGAAGCAAGAGGGTGTTATGGGACAAGAGAAGGGAATTGAAGAAATGAAAGCCATGAAAAGGAAGAGTTATATAGCAGGAAAAAGAAACAAGAAAAATGTCAAGATAAATATTTTAATTTTTTTTATCTAGGAAGATAGAATGACTAAATAGTCTACATTTCTCAGAAGAGAGGAATGAAAGTTCTTTCCTTTATAGGAAAGGGTGAGATCTGTGCTGGAGATTTTGAGAGTGGGTGTATCAGCTATGCTGAATAACAGATGACTCCTAAATTAATGCTTGAAACAATAAACATTTACTATTCTTCACAATTCCATGGGTTAGCTAAGTGGTTCCTGTGGTCTTAGTTGGGCTTGTTTGTGTAGCTGCATGTTTGGTAGGCTGCTTTGCTGATCTACGCTGGGTTCTGTCACACATTGGCAGTTAGTTAGGCTGTCTGTGGACTAGTCCGAGGTGGCCTCAGCAGGGCAGCATGGCTCTCCTCTACATGGTGTCTTGTACACCAGGCTTCTTCACATGGTGGCAGAATTCTGAGAGAGAGAGAGGGATAAAGCATGGGATGCCTGTTGAGACTTAGCTCAGAACTAAGCAGTGTCACTTGTGCCACATTCTGTTGGCTTAAGCATGTTTCAAGGCCAGCCCATATTCTCAGGGTGGGGAAATAGACTCCATTCCTTAATCAAGGAAGGAATTTCAAAGTCCTTTTCAGAGGCTGAAAATGATATAGATATAGAGAGAGCTGGGGACTGGAACCAGTTCTGTAATTAATCTACCACTGGGGAAGGCTAGAAATAGGTGTGCTCCATGTATAAAGGAGTTTGCTGTAGTAGATGTGCTAAAATTGTGTGTGTTCTGTATTTTATAATACATGTAAGATGTAGATCTCAAAGTGTTTACATAGTGGATTTCAATGTCTTCATTGTTAGTATATTTTTTTCTTTCTCCCTTTCAAAGGTTGGATAATACATTAGAGGAAATTATATTTAAACTGGTCCCTGGACTACGAGAACGTAAGTTGCTTTTTCAATTTTTACAGACTTTTGTGTTTTATGAAATCAACATTTCTATTAAAGATTTTATGACTGTTCCTATGGTTTTATACTCTTTTTTCTTTTAAATTAGAAGAACTTGAGCGTGAATCTGAATTTTGGAAGAAAAATAAACCTCAAGAAAATGGACAAGGTGACTTTTTCTTATATCTGTATCTAACAGCATCTCAAATTGGTCAGCTCTTTGTAGCTTTGGTGAACTAATATCTCTCTTCAGGATCAAATTTCTCCTTCACAAAAGTTATGCACCTCTTTATTTACATTATGAACCTTTTTTTCTTCATGAGATTTTATGTAAATATGTGTAAATCTGTAGTCACTCCAGTTGAAGGTAATTGTAAATAGAGGAAATCAGAATTGAGGAAGAAAAAAGGGAGATAAAACAGAAAACTGACTAAATGATTATAGCAATCATTTCTAGAGAGCTAAGAAAGCTTCAGTAAGGCATAGTCATAGCTTGTAACTAAACAGTGATGGGGTTTTTATTTTATTTTGTATATTTTAATAGGAGAGGGAACTGAGATGTGGCTGAGATTCTGTTCAGGGGATTCTGCTATGCTATGATACCCTGGAATGAAGTTCTCATAGGTAGAGCTTAGAAAATAAAATGTGTATGTCTTGAATATCTAACATATTTCTGAGTGCTTATGGGAATTTTTCCCATCACCTATATTAAGTGTCCAAGTTTCTCCTCTGGGTCCCAGCAGACTCAGCAATGGGTAATTTTTAATAATAATTTCAGCAAGGTGGCAAATAATACTGGGCAGAGAAAAGGCTTTTAGTATGTATATTATCCACACAAAGGCATAACAACTATTTACATAAAATTTACATTGCGGCCGTTATAAGTAATCTAGAGAGGATTTAAAGTAGGTTATATGTAAGTACTATTCTCCCATTGTTTTTTTAGTATGAGATTTATTTAAAGAAGTCCTAAATACTACTGAAATCTTTCAAGAAGTTATGTGTGTCCTTATAGGCTCACTTGTCATCTCAGTTTTTCAGCCTTGGTTTTCCCATAATATGACAGTATTGTCAATTACACATCATTAAGATAGAAGAAAAAATGCTATCTTTCTTTTTCTTCTGTAAAATGGGGATTATGGTTTTATTAATTCAATTTAACTGTGCAGGGCTCTCTTCCTGTAGTGGGAAAGATTTGAGAATAATTTTGATGGCTGGAATAAGGTAGCAAGGGACTATTTTTTATCTTTAGCAATACAATGGGCAAAGAAGCTAAGCCTGACAAAAAATGAGTTAACTAAAGGGTTGTTTTACCCAAGTGTATATTGCAGTTAGACAGGAGTGATATAGTAAAAATATAGATAATATAGAGTTAATTAAATGTTCCCGTGTTCACCTATTCAGGAGGACAGGAACCTATGGGATTGTCATCAAAAATTGTATGATAGGTTTAGTCTATGAATGTGTATCAAAGCAGTGTATGAATTGCGAAGGGTGGTACCCTGCTTTATGAATATTATCTCCCTTTTCCCATTTTTTCTCCCTTTTTAAAGCATTTATGATATTTGGTCTTTATTTTGGGTGGAGAATTTGGATCTTTTCTTGGAGTTGGGAGTTTGGTTCATAAAAGGCAGCTCCTGTCTATGTGGCTTCTATATAAATATGGAGAAGAAAGAGAAGAAAGCATGTGGAAAAAAGAGAACCCACTTCCCCTTATGGCATATCTGTAATGCTTTTGCTACAGTCACTGAAGAGGAGCTAACCTATCATTTTGGTAGGACTTTTCTGCATAATGCTTAGCTAGCTAATTTTTTCAAGTTTTAGTGTAGAGATATTTCATCTGGAGATCTTCGCTGAATCTCTAAACTACTCTCAAAGTTTCAGTTTACTGCCTCTTTTATATATGCCAACATAGTCCATTTTACATCTCCCATCCTATATTTGTCTGGTTTGCCTGTATTTCTTCTGTAGCCTGACCACTATGAGGGTGAAGATGATAGCACTATAGTTTCAATATTGTTTCCTCAGGACTAGGACAATGCATATTTAACATATAGTTAAAGGCACTCAATAAGTGAATGAATCAATAAAATAGTTGCATTATTTAAAGGCTGTAGATATGTAATAGGTTGAATACATTTGTATTTATTATAACGATGCAATTCAAATTTCTTTAATGGGGTTTTAGCATGTTACATAGTTACGTATATGTTAAAAAGCTAATTCATTCTCGTTTTTTTCATGAGCTGATTTTATGAACATGTAATTATTTGAAATTTTGAGAAGTTAGAGAATATTTTATAATTTGAAAAGTGAGTTTTTAATTTGAACATATTTGGAGAGAATTTGGAAGTATTTTCATATTTTTGTCTACTCTCTAAAGTGTTCTAATCACTAATTGCATTCATTTTAGTGACCAAATATATCTAGTGTTCAGTCTTTCATTTGGATGTCCCAATGAACTTAGAAGTCTTAGGCTATGTTAATATATCTCCGATGCTTTTTAGAAAAATATTTCCATTGTTGACTTGGTTGGAATATTTAAAAGACATTACAGTTTTCAGTAACTCTTCTTCAAAAACTGTTCAGAAATGTTTTTTAAAGTGATTTTTGTTTTGATGATTGATGTATTGTTGTTTAACCATAAAATCAACTTTGAGTTTTATCTAACTTAGTTTTGTTTAAATTATACAGATGATATGGCAAAAACTGACAAACCTAAAGTAGATGAAGAAGGTGATGAAAATCAAGATGATAAAGACTATCACAGAAGTGACCCACAAATTGCTATATGTCTAGATTGTTTACGAAATAATGGACAATCAGGGGACAATGTAGTAAAGGTGAGGGGACAAGTACAGTTGTATTTTTTGATCATTTTATAGAAAGTCCTTGATACTTTGTTGACAAATTTTCTGATACTTTAAACTGTTTGCTTTCAAAGTTTTTGTTAACATAATGAAATAGAATACCATTCTCTGACAGTCCTATACCTATAAATCCTTAAGCAATTGCTTACTCTAGCCACCTGTTTTTCCAGCCACAACTGAACATCCTGGGCAAATGCCACCACCTAGTGGCTAATGCGAGAGTTACACCTCTATTTCTTCTCTCCACCTCCTTTTATACCTCTGTTGGGAGTTCATATGCATTGTTTCTCCCTTTTTTAAATGTAGTAAGCAACTCAGACTCAGATCGTTTCATGTCAGGCAGTAGCTCTAACCATTTTACTTATCCTCTTCTAATTTTCTCCTTTATTTCTCTATTTTTATTTACAACTCAACAAGCTTTTCATGTCGTAGGTAATATATTTTATGAGTAATATGAATTGGTTTTGAAGTAAAATTGGATATCATAAAGTGCCTGTGAATTTTTAAAGTCCTTGAAGACTCTTGATTATTTCCTGTAGAATCTCTGTTTCTAATCCTGTTTCCCTCTATATCTGCTAATTGAACCTTTTTTTCAAGGATCTTTATAGAAAATTTAAAACACCCCACTTGCTTTTATTGATTTTCTTTGATCTTCAATGGTGTTATTTAAATAATTTTTTCTGCTTTTTTATTGTAAGCAACTTCCATTTTTATTGCAAATGTTCAACACATAGCTCTTAAGTGGATATTTGGTCACTTTGTCCTAATCAGCCTTTGAAGATACTGTTTCTTTCTCTTTGTATTTCATGGTTTTATTCAAATGCCTATATTCATTGTCTCTAATTTTCTTTCACTTCTTTGTAAATCTGTAAGTCATTGGGCTGAATTTTTCACTAATACATTTAATGGTATTTTCTTATCAGGAAATGAAAAATAATATTTCAACTCAAATTAAGTTTCCCAGCATCTTGCAACAAAGAATATATATGAGCATAGTGATTAAGTGAATACGTATTCACTATGTGGTTGTTAGGCAGTGAAAATATAGTAGTAAGAAAAAAATCTATCACTCAAGGAGTGGTTAGGTCTTACACATACAAATAAGCAGTTATAATACAATAAGGTAATTGATGTAGTTAAGGGGGGTTGATTGGACAAGGCATATAATAAAGTGCAGCAATCTCTAAAGAAGTAACCACTGTACCTATTGAACTTTCTAGTCTTTTTTTTTTTATGTTCTGGTATAGCACCTTTCCTTTTCTGTAAGCCTTTTCATCAAGGCTTTTCTAATTCTGTTTCTCTCCTTTTACCAGTCTTATCTGCAATCCCCTTTTAGGGAGATTCTTCTCCATACCAGCATACTTCAAAAGTTCAAGGAAAAATAGAATTGCAAGATAATATGAATTTTTCCATGAGCTTTTTGAAGTACTCTTGTAGAGATTGCGATCATTCTTTAGCTCCCTAATACAGGAGTTAATATCAGATAGTGAAAGTTAAGTCAATGGAAAGGCCGAATCTCTTTTCATAAATAAATGTGCAGTCTGCTTCTTTGCATGATTTCTAGTACAAAAGTATAAAATATTGAATTTTAGAAATTCATCTGAAAAATTAACTACCCCTGCCTTGACATTTTCCTTTTCAACTTCTTTGACATTTCACCATTCCAGTTGATCTTTTATCCATTCACACTTTTCTTTATAAACTTTATTCATCCTTCTACCTTCATTCCTAAAACAACTTTCTTGGCATAGAAATGACTTCTCCTGTGCTACCATGATTCTTGCCTTTTCTCACAGGGCCACTTTACTTTGTCTCCATTGGCTCTGCTTGTTGCCTTCTACTTTATATATGTGAGTATGTCCTAATACATTCTCTCTATTCATTCCAGGAGGTCTGTCATTTTTTGTGGCTTCAACTGTGCAAGGGACTTTTAAATCCCCATTTCCAACCCTGCCATCTCTCCCAAGTTAAGGTATTATATCTCTACCTACCTTTAAATATATTAATTGAGAGTTTCACTAACACCTGAAACTTAATAGTCTTCACAGAAATAGAAAAAAAAAAAAAAAAAAAAACTTAAAATTTGTATGGAACAACAAAAGACCCTGTAGAGCCAAAGCAATCTTGAATAAAAGCTGGAGGCATCATACTACCTGACTTCAAAATTTACTATAAAATATGCCATAAAGCTATAGTAACCCAAACAGCATGGTACTGGCATGAAAACAGACAAATTGACAGAATAGAGAGCCTAGAAATAAACTCACACATTCACAGCCAACTGATTTTCAACAAAGGTACCAAGAATATACACTGGGAAAAGGACATCCTCCTCAATAAATGGTGCTGGGAAAACTAGATATTCACGTATAGAAATTGAAACTAAACCCCTGTCTCTCACT